CTAAGCTAAAATAAGCAGCTTATTGAAGCGTAAGCCTTTTTAAGCCGCTTGCAAATAGCTTACAAGGGCAAAAATTTTCACATGGGTATCCCCAAATAACTTTTCTTGAAAAACTTTTCTCTGAAAACATGTAAAAACGACCTATACATTCCTAACATAAACAAAAAAAGCGTGAAAACAAGAGAAAAAAATACATGAAAACTTTTGGTAATATTTCCTCGACTGAAGGGAGGGTCATATGAGAAAAACTAAAATGCGTTTGTGTGTGTGTGTCTGTTTGTCGCAAGGTCAAAAAAACATCACAGAGGAACTTGATTTAGATGTACCTTCTAAAATTTCAGTACAGGTAATTGACGTCGGGAAATTCGATTTCGAGGTAAGGTTTTAATTCCGGTATTCCCATTGGCTAGAAAGGCTACGAATCAGAAATGAGTTTTTTTATTTTAAGTATTTTACACATTTTGATGAAACTTTGCTATAGGTTATCGGGGGTCAGGATTCTGAATACGAGGTCGGATTTTGCATCTGATCTGCCCATTGACTAGAAAGTGGACCAATCAGAAGTGAGCTTTTTTATTTTAAAACTTGTATACAGTTTGATGGAACTTTACTGTAGGTTATGGACGGCTAGGATTCTAAATCTAGGATCGGATTTTCCATTCGGTCTTCCGATTGGCTAGAAAGCCTACGAATGAGAGATGAGCTTTTTTATTTTAAGCTTTTTGTACATTTTGATGAAACTTTACTATATCTTATCGTGGGCCAGGATTCTGAATCCGAGATCGGATTTTGCATCTGACCATCCGGTTGGCTCGGAAGCCGACTATTCAGAAATGAGCTTTTTCTTGAGAAAATTAGGATATTTTATAAGGTTGATGGAAATAAACTGGGGTCGGGGTATCCAAATTCGTAATGGGTTTGTCGACATTTTTCGTTGAACTTTTTGACCAAGGAAAGGCGTTTTTGCGGAAAATAACGATATTTTATAAAGGTTGACGAAAATAAGTGGGGCCGGGTTATTGGAATCTGCAATCGGTTTCCTGAAATTTCAAGTTCTTGTTTGTATGCGTTCTCTCTATTATTGGGACAGACACCAGAGGTATTTTTTTGCACATGGGTAGCTCTTAGCATTCCTTGAACGATTTGGAAGGCAAGCAGATTAGAAATGCCTCGAGAGTACTCTTCAAATGTTCAAACGATGGAAGTTATTCGCATCCTGAAGACCCATATGTTTGGTACGAAAACACAAATATGATTTCAGGAAGAGATGCTGCCCATGTCAAATCTCCGTATCTCAGCAGCTTTTAAAGGTATAACAGAAGCCATCTACGTTCAAAGGAAGGCGACTGTGCCTTTTGCAACGACAGAGGAGTATAGTAAAATTTGCTAGATTTGCTTACAATCTTTCAATAGAACTAATTTTGCGAGCAAATTTCTCCCATTTCTTTCATAAGGTTAAATCTATACCCTGTGGAAATCTATCCATAGATGAGGCAGGATCTTAAACCGGTATGTGACAATAAGCTGTAATTTATTATTATTATTATTATTATAAAAACCCGAATTTTTAACCTTGTATATGTTTCGAGGATCTCTAACTCGTGGAATTTCTAGTTGCGATAACTTGAAGTAATAAAAAAACAGATGTATAAAAACGATGCCCTATCTTTTATGTTAAATAGACAATAAACAAATTGTTGCATGAGTGCACTGACATCAAATGAGCGACTTGTTGCTTATGTTGCAACCGTTCGGTAGATTTCTCTCACCAAAGATATGTATAAAAGCTAGTTTTTTTGAGAATACTGTACCAATATTTTCTTAATGAAGGATTTCAATAAAACTCTAATTTTTCAGGTGTAGAATGAAATTGAAGAAATCAGAAATAGTTCACAACGAAGCTTTGGTTTAGAAATTTCCGTCGAGAATTGTCGTGCTACAGATCTAATGGTTTTCGAAGTAAGCTGAGTTTGTGACTAGATGAAGTGTAAATAAAAAAGGATGGTGCTGTGGAGAAATAGAACGAAACATAGCAGCGGCTAGTCGTGAATGGCGCCCCAGAGGGGCGCCGACGAACGACTATCCGCTGCAATAGAAAGTCCCTTGAAGAAATGCTCCAAGCTGTTGGTATTCATCAAACAGACATCAAGAGTCTAGGTCGAATGGGTTTGAATAAGGAGTAGTAGTTGCTAAGAACTGAGAAATATTTGTAAATAAAGTGTGAGAACGCCTTTTCTGCAGGTGTGCGATATTTGAATAGTACATTTGAGGGAAAACATTATTTATAGAATTTATATTCGTTGTATCGGAATGCTATTTGAATGAAATAAACGGGGTTTCCTTGCTGGGATGCTTTCTTGTCGATACTGATTCAAATGTCGAAGTGTATATGGATATATTCAAATTAGTTATCTAGTCTGATGGATAATATGAGTAGGAGCTTCTTTCAAATATGACAGTCCGATTATAGACCAGACCTAATATGATATATTTTAAGGTAGAAATTCAAGTAAACCCGTATTTTGCTAGCGGACGCTCTAGTAAACAATATTGTCGGCAGATGTGTCAGCAAGCGAACGGACTTTTAGTAGAAATTTTAAGAAGTATGGCGCGTTTTCACGAAAGTGTCGCGAATGAGCTTTGCTTCATTACCTCTCAGAAAGCTGAATATAAGCTCCTTTTTTGGGTACATATGGATATTGCCACCATAGTGTGGTTCCGTAGATTTTTGTTAACTGTCAATGTGAGGGCGTGAATTTGATTAGATGTATTTGTGACAAAAATGTTCATTCGGACCGGCATACAATTGTACACAATGAGATTGACGCTAATATCAGCGTACACACACCTACCCACGCTTTTGGAACATTGGATACTAGCTGTGTTTAAGACTGTAAATCAGAAGAAAAAATGGAAAGAGTCGAATATACAGTCGATGCTCAAGCGAGTCATACGGACGAGCGTTACTTGTTGAGTTTGGTTATATAAACAATTTCGTAGACCCAAATCCGATTTTTTAACAGCACAAGAAAACTATAATTCAATCTCTAATATAGGAAAATCAGATTTAGGTCTATGCAAGTGTTTATATAACCAAACTCAATATTAGGAAAAGTTTTCATATTTTTTTCTCTTGTTTTCATGCTTTTTTGTTTATTTTAAGAATATATTGGTCGTTTTTACATATTTTCAGAAAAAAGTTTTTCAAGAAAAGTTATTTGGGGATAGTACTTATCCGTGTCAAAATGTAGGTTATTGACATCTGTGAGTGTTTGTCAAGACAACTCGGGGTGCTTGGATGGATCGAAAGAGAGGTTCTGGATGTTAGTGTTGAAGGGGGACACTTTTTGGTCTTTGTTGATAGTTTATTTTTTCCAGAAGTCGGACAAAGTGAGTGCTTGTTGGTGTTTGAGAAGATGACTCTTCAAGGCGCGGGTGTTAGTGAAGATGACCTATATGCGTTTTTACAAAGTTGGGTGTTTGTAGTGTTAACATAAATTAGGAATACTCCAGCGATCCTGACTCATTGAAATGTAACAGAGACTACTGTACGTAGGATACCTGTCGCTGAAGTCGTGTTGGTTGAGGATCTGGCTTTTACGATTATGTGAAGGATAGCAACTTGAAACGATGTAGTTCCTGAATAATGAAGATTTCCACACCTTTCTGGGATTATGTACAAGAAAGACGTGTAAAGCAGATCAGCTGTTGTGATTTTTTGTGTGGTAGACTGTGGTGAAAGTGTATATCTTAGAAGCAATCGATATAGAAATGGATTGTATGAGAAATCTCAACATTTACTGAGTAATCGGAATGTTTAATTTTCTGATATTGTTCCACTCTTTTAGACAACTAATAACTCCAAAAGAAACAATGACTTCTGATGTATTTGAAATATTACATAATAAAACATGCTGCTATACACGCTTCATTAGCTCTTTATAACCTGTTATTCTTTTGTTTTCAACCTACAATGTATCAACAATGCTACATGATGTTCGCTTCTTCATTTTATTTCCTGATCAAAATATTTTCTACTTTTTACTTTTCAAATGTCATCGTTCTAGTTTATCCATGCAGTATTTTTATGTTCCATGTTGCTTAAACTGCTTATAAATTTCTCACATTGAATTATTTGATTATTTATTTTTCGGATTTAAAATATCTTATAAATGTTTCTTTTAGTTCAAACTGTTGGCTTTGCATGAGGGTGTGGATGTGGGTGTAGGGTGTGGGTGTGGGTGCGGATGTGGCTGGGGTGGGTGTGAGGTGATTGTAGATTTGAATCACCTCTTTACCCACACTGAAACCCCATACACCCACACCCGAAACAAGACCACTACTTCTAACACTTTTCTTCTGAACCCATTCCACATAAGTAACCAAAAAAAGATTCTGGTTTTAATAAATTCAGTTCTTTCAATATCTCTTCGACTTTCTCTTCATCATTAGCTATTGTTGTTAAGTCGTTAGCCATTAACGACGACAAAAAGTTCAAAATAGTGTGATTACTTTTCAGTTGGTGAATTCTTTCAGATTTAATTTGTGGATTCAAACAGGTTATACATAGACAACTACCCCATTCATTTGGTTTAGGTGAAACAATGTAGGATGGTACATGTCTTGTGAAAGTTGAATACGAACAATCATAGTTTGTTTCCAAAATAAACTTTTGATGAAGCTTAATCAGGTGATTTAACAAAAATCGTACTTATTTACCATCGATGATTTTATTTTTATCTGGTGTAAATCATGTGATTTCATCATTATTCAAAAACTGTTCGATAGCACCCTCAGGTTCTCTTGATATTGTTGACGTTCTTCTTGATGATACATTTTGATAGGACAACTAAAGAATAAACACTTCTTAATAATAGAAGAGGATTGAAATAATCCACAACTTACATTGATTCCAAACATATTGCGAATACTATTATTATTACCACGAGGTAAATCCGGGTTTTGTGCAACCATACGTGCTTTAGCACGACGTTTAGCATTTAGACTAAGATTTTGAAAAAAAGTCTTGATGGTGATATAATTGTTGTACTATCTCTATTTGGGTGTTCTGATGATGATGATAATGTTGTTGATGAGGGTGATGATGGAGATGATGGTGATGACGATGTCAAAGAGATTAGTTGTTCTTTCAATTTTTCATTTTCCGTTTGTAATTGTTTATTTAAATCTTGTACTTGATTTATCTCTAATTTAATTTTTTTTTGTTTTGACAACGACGTTGAATACCTTCACCTGTTCGAAGATCATTTCTTGATACTGTAATTGTTGATGTTAATTGTATTGGTTGTTGTTCTTGTTGTTGTTTCTCCTTTGCTCAATATAATGCTTGTCTCCTTGCTACATATTTTTTATATTTTTTTTCAAAATTTTTTGATTGTAAACGTTTTAATTGAATTATCTGACGATATCTTTGACAATATGTAGCATTATTATTTTGCTTTTTTTTCTTCGCTCTCATCTTGAAAACAATAACTTAATCTAAAACTAAATTAAAAAAATGTTTAAATTTGTAGATGGTCAGATACTAGCTTTTATGAACATTTTAAGTTTCTTATAACATATAGATATTTTGCATGGTAGTAAATGAGAAAAAGACAGAACTTTCAGTTATTCAAGGCATTAAGAATCCTCAAGAATACATTTGCAAACTTCTCTCAATCAAGAGAAGTTATGACAAATGAAAGCAAGCTAAATAAATATTCTTTCTCTCAATATCTATCATTTTAAACTGTTGTGACATTTTTTGAGTAAAATACTATTTTCTCGTGAAGGATACATAGTTAAGAGCTCAAATTTGTACCACAGATGTACTATATAGTCAGCCAAAAAATGTTAAAAAAAACATAGACTAGTCGCTTATAGTTAGTGAAAAACCAAAGAATTAAAATAACAAAATCTATCGTAACATTTAGTGCGACAACAGCTACCCATCTGTTTTATTTTTACTATTTTGTTTGATCTTGAAAATTAAAAAATTCTTTTTTTCCACAAAAATATTTCTCCGTTTTACTCTATCAAATAAAAAAAAACAGTTGAGTTAGCTTGTAAATAGTCTTTAATAGTTGCAATTTCATCTGTCGTGACAAAAAATAGTCAAAGTGTATGCTTAGATATTTTTGCAAGATTTGATTAGGAAATCAAAATCGAAGTTCTGATCAATTTATATAGTCAAAAAGAGAAGAACCACAGCTACCAATTGCTGTCAAGAATTCTATCTATCCAATCAGAATTAAAGAATATAAAAAGAAATTTCTGTCGATAGATACTGCTGAACAGCTTCCAGTATGATCTTTCATTTTGAAAAATCCTTAACCATACAACGAAAAACCCTGATACTTTTATGGTAAGTAGGATGGAATGAATGGAGCATTTCAAAAAAAATTGTCTAAATCGATTAAGTAGAAGTTGAGTTATAAGATTTTTCGTGTTCGCAGAGCCACCGTACAATCTCAGCACAATTCACTCATATTCAAAAACAATAGCAAAAACGAAAGCACCTTCAATCATCCACCCTCGTATATATATATCTTGTAGATATACACTGCTGGACAAAAGTAACCGTGGGTGTGGGTGTTTGTGTGAGTAGTTGAAAATGGAATGAACACCCACGCCCATACTCACAGCCATACCCCAAACCCAATACACGCATTTTATATTCCTTGGAAAGTTCTATATATCAATCTTAAAGACTTGCATTGATTTTTTTCTATTTTGATATTTGAAAAAATCTCAGAACAAAACTAAAATACCATTGTTTGATCATAGGCTTTTTATTTTCACGAGAAATGATTTATATATTCGATTCAGCTACGAAAGTTTAACTTCCATAGCTTTTTTTAAACTAAAATCTTCGGAATATGTTTTTCAATTTGAAGTCTCTTTACATTACATCATGGAACACAATACATTTCAAAGTACTTAAGAACATATTTGCTTATATTTCATTATCTTCAAAGTTGTTAAAGTAATCCGAGAATTTTGAAACAAAATAAGTTCAGGCTGTTGACCTGTTTTGAATGTTAAATTGTCTTCATTAAGTTTTTTCTCTTCCCATTTTTTGCAGAAATAAATTCAGTTAAGCTCTTTTAAGATCATTGATGCATTAGAAGATCTGTGATCTTCTATTCTCTATAATTGTTGATAAGTTACAACCGAGTTTTGCTATTGTGTCCCCCCAAAAAGTCCTATTTTTTTGGCAAACTGTTGGTCAAACTTTAGGTTTCATTCATGTACGAGTTTATTTCTCATATTCCATACGTGTAGCATTAGAAAAGATAGATATTTTCCTTTGAAAAAAAGGAAAATATGGGTGTGTGCAGTTGATGAGAATACTCTCACACAATCTCCATACTCAATGTTGATTCGATTCTTTTTTTGTGCGCCTGGTAAACAAGAGGCTTCATTGTTTGCACTCTCAATTGTTAATGGGAACAAAACGCCAAATCTAATTTGAATCTGAGTTCTAGATCGAAAACCATGTTTTCATTCGTCTCGAGCATCTTTCCATTTTGAATTCACAGTGCATGCATTAATTACGTGACGTTTGTTTACTTTAAATGCTGTAGTTTCAGCTGGAACACTTCGCATTTCGTTTGTTGACAGATCATTTCTTTTAAGAATATTCCTTTATTTGGTAAGAGAAATAACAAAAAACACCAATGTCAAAGAATTTTTCTATATGTCTGTTTCGGAGAGGAAAATTGAAAGTTAAATAGCGCTTTTGCATTCTGGCGGAATATCGAATATACTTGGATCATCAATTTTTGGTACAAAATCCGTTATTGTTGCTGCATTTACCAAAGCTGAAAATGTTACACAAAAAAATTATTAGGACACAATTTAATCTCTCTTTTATATTAAATGGTTACTTACCAAGTTTTTGAAAGAAGGCATGTCCAGCCAATGGAACACAAAGACCATCACGACTAACCGTTGCATAATTCACTGTGTCGTCCACTGTTATAAGCCATGTGTCACCAATAATTTGTTTATCACCATATCCAAATGTATATGAATGTACGTAAATTGCTGTATCTATAGTGAAACAAAAATTGTACTCGTATTGTTAAAATAAAACACAAATGAACAAAAACCAAATATAATATACCTGGTATACACTTAATTGGTTTAATTGGCATGGCTGATTTTTGACATCTTCTAGAATCTTGATCTATCACATACATTTGTCCATCATTCACACTTTCAATAATCCACAGATTTGATTTATGTAGATCTGGTAACGTAAATGATACTCCTTTCATTCCAGTCATGGCACGATCCGAATCATATGAGTAATTGTAATATGCCTATTTCATTAATAGATCATACTTTAGATCAAAGCATCATCGGACTAACTTACATATGAACTGTATGTTTTACCCTCTGGCAATGCCATGGCAGTTGATGTACTTAATTGTGCACTAAATTGTTTTGGCACACAACAACGTTCTGGTTCAGTTAATTCATGTGTGAGTGATGTTGTTGGTTTGCCATTTAAACCCACAATACAAATAGCAATAGCAATCAAAATTGTGTAGTAGGACATGCTTTCTGTTTTTTTCAAATCACTCTGTGTATAACAGGGAATGTGACGACAAGTACGTTTTTATAGATGGTGATGAAAGAAAATGATAGTAAACATTAGTCATGACTTGCGTTTTCTCTTGTTGTTTGTCGTAGATATATTCGTCAGTGTACTGATAATAAAAACAAACCAGTCATATCATAGCTTTGACGCACCAGATGCAAGGTGACTTGAAATCATATGAAATAACCAATGAGAAGTAAAGCAAGTTTTACTTATGGAGCCCCTCAAGAACCAGTGGTAAATATTTATCATATGTTATCTATTTTTATGAAGTATGATTGAAAATGACTGTTGAAGAATATAGCGAGGGGTTGGATGACCTTCATCTCACAAACTAGGACATAACTGATAGCATATTCGTTTGATTCTGTTGAAAACAATAACAGATATGTCGAAGACAGATGAGTACACTGTCGTACTTTTCTATTGATTTTATGTCAATTTATTTGCTAATGTCTTTTTGGATTAAGGACATTAGCAATTTCGAGTACTAGTTTTATTTTTTTTTAATTATGCTGAATTTTATTCGTGACATCCATGATTTTTTTTGGGAGATTTTTTACAATTTTTGATGGACGCTTACGAATGTATGCAACGGACAAGATAATGATAACAAACAGAGAAAGAATACAAAGAAATGAAAACGAACACAATGAAAATCGAAATCGAGCCAATGATGACGATGTAGCGTGCATCGTTGCTTTTCTTTTTGTTTATTCTTCCGATACCATATATCTTGACACCGAATGCACCATGCCGAGGGAAGGGATCGAACCTTCTGATCTCTGACTGTAATCAGATGCATAGAACCACTACGCCATCCCCGGCTGGTACTAGTTTTATTCCAATATAGATGCTCTAAAGAAAGAAAAGTCTGTTTGGATAATCATTCGACAATGAACGTTTGATTTGACATTTAACAATTTGCTAAAGAGGGTGTGGGTGTGGATGTGTGGGGTGGGTGGGTGTGGGTGTGGTGTATGGGTGTGGGTGTGGGTGTGGGATGTGGTGGGGGTGTGGGTGGGTGTGGGTGTGGGTGTGGATGTGGGTAGGGGTGGTGGTGTGAGTGTCGGTGTGGGTCTGGGTGTGGGTATGGGTATGGGTATGGCTGTACTCTTCAACAACATCCCCAATCCATACAGACCCAGAGCCATACCCACACTCAAACCGACCCACACCCACAGCCACACCCCAAATACCCCCTATTCATCTATTTCTGTTTGAAATCGAGCGTCTTTTTTTCATTCTGAATTCAGATTGAAATCAAATAGACCATAGTATGATTTGCCCACACCGACACCCACACCTCCACGCACACCCACATCTACACTCACGCTCACCCCACACTCACACTGCAGCCTGTTACATTGCTGAACCAAGAAGATCGCATACTATTATCCTTTTCAAAAAACAATAGAAGTGGCTGTTTTTTGAATAACTCGAGAGCAGCAACAGCTAGAGACCTGTGGTTGTCACCAATCGAAAAAGGAGGCAAGGGGACATTTTTTTTCTAATATTGTATAAGACGAAATCATTTTGAAATCAGTCATTTCTGCAAAGCATCGAAAAAATGTGTAAAAACGATCTGTCATTCAGATGAAATTTTGACGAAAAGTAAGATAATTTGCTTAAAAATTAAAATAAATTCACAGTTTTCATGCGAGTAAACAGATGATTTTATTTGCTAAACATAAGGATATGGGAAGATAATCATTCGAATTATATCTTGAACTATAGATCTGAAGTTCCTCTGTCAAGATCACACATCAAAACCAAAATTTCATCGGAATGACAGATCCTTTTCATGGATTTTTCGTAATGTTCTGCAGAAATGACTGATTTTGAAATGATTTCATCTTATACAATATTAGCGAAAAAGTCGTCCCCTTGTCTCCTCTTTCGATTGGTGAAAACCGCAGGTGTCTAGCTGTTTGCGTTCTCGAATTATTCAAAAAACAGCTACGCCTATTGTTTTTTTGTGGAAAGGATAATAGTACTGCAGAACTTTTCAGGATTTTTGTGGACGAGCGACTGAATCATCAAGAGTTCAGTCGGAAAAAAGGTTCAGTATAAAACTATGTTGTATGTACGAGAACTCCTTCTTTTGAAAATGGTTCTGTATATATTTAAAAGCATTACTTTATTCATCATCGTGTTTCTTTCGTCGAAGTACATCGAAATTAAAACTGAACATCGAACTGTGGCTTCGTGAGAAGTATTTACAAATGAGTGCTTCACCGAACATTGATGTCGTTCTTCACTGAGAAAAAGCCAGATCCAGCACATCTTTTGAAATTGTTCTCGAAAATAATGAAAAATCAGAATATAGGACACAAGAATGTTTGATCCAAATAAGCCAAAAAATTTATAATATGCTCCGATGGTCATCGGCGTTAATTTTGTTGGGAATAAGTATTGAAAATAGTGATATGACCTCTGACGAGGGAACCGATGCCATTGATTAATCGCTCTTTCAATTAGATATCGTGGACCTAACGTTATCGACCATGCTGATTCCGAATATCACCATAACATTTGCCCATAGACCTCTAGAGACCTGATTTTGTAGAAAACCAGTTTTCTAGCAAAAATTTTCTTTTTCAAAATGATTTTCTGATCTATCCAGATGATAGAGCATGTCAAGTGGGACATAAAAACCTAGTTTTTGATTGTACAAATGAGCTTTTGAATGATCTATAGCCATTAGAAAGGCGGTGATCACAAATAGTCGATTTTTCTCTAGGCTGAAAATATCATAAAATGATAGTACATTGATAGGATATTACCTCTTTGAGGGTGCGTGTGGGTGTGAGGATGGTGTTTTGCAGTATTTCGTAGTTTTGGGGGGCAATGAAGGTGATAAATGATAAAGTAACTAGTGAAATCGATAGAGCTCGTCGAGTCCTACTTGGAACCAGTGTGACCGGAGTTGGAACTAATGACTGGACGAATCGGTCCAACAAAAGGTCGAACTGTGCACAAAGATATCCTACATTCATAGGTGGCAAAGTCTATAGGTTCGTAAGTAGAGGTGGTACTTTAACTTTATTTTCCTTTGAAAAAATAAAGTAAAGTAAAATAAAGTAATGCAGAACATTTTAAAAGTGGAGAAAAAAGTAAAACAAAACCTCGCTACACAATAGTTTTCATATATTAATTTAGAAATCGATATTTTTCAGGTTGATTTATATTATTTTGTGCAAGTTTAAAGGAGAAATGACATCTAATGAACTTTTGTACATTGCAAGATTATCTATACATGTTACTGACCTATAAGATATGATTGAAAAATTTGAAAATATTTTACTTTATTTTTTTCACTTTATTTTACTTGCCTGATAAAGTAAAAATAAAGTGCTACCCTCAAGATCCCAATAGTTTCATCGGATAGTGCAATGAGAAAAATCTTAAGGGTATGGGTGAGTCAAGTTATCGTGATCATGATTTCGCTTCAACTATGAAGTTGTCATTAGATGGCATAGAACCTTAATGATTCAAAAATCATAAGATTAAATTCATCTCTTAGATATTTTGCAAAAGATATCTGCCGATTATTTCATTTTATAGGATTTGGAGAGTTATCCCTAGGCGAACATTTTTTAGCAAGAGCATGACATTCTTGAGTTTCTTGATCCTGAATGTCATGTTCTATGGGCACATCTTTTGTCACCACTCAAGGCCATTAACAATAACTAAAGCACTTGTGATTATTGTTCCTATTGCTTATTGTTGTTATTCATTCATGTTCTTGAATTCTTGCCCAAGAAAGTATAATATACTTGTATAATACAGATGTCAGTTTTTCTTTGTGTTTTAGTTGCTCGTCTTTTAAAAAAGTAATCGTTACAATGACACATAGTGCTGAATAAAAACAGAGTACTGCGAGACAGTTTCAAATCCTAAAAATTTTCTTTTGTCTCATCTCGTGAGATAATCGAGATTATCCCGAAAATTTTTCGGGATGGAAGAAACGGGTTCTGTACAATATATAAAAAATAACGTTCTAAGTTCCATTCGCTTCTAGGTTGAAAAAATGGCTGCCGCATGGTACAAAAGGACTTTACTTAATTACTACCAAAATGTTTTGTTTTTAGAAAGAAAAACATGAAATTTATTAAAGAAAATCTTGTAATGTTGTCAAGGAATCATTACTAAATTGGAATAAATGCTAAAGCATTTAAATATTCTTCTGCTGGTTTATTCGCTATTAATTTTCCATTATTGTTTAAATCAAATGTTAGTATTTTCTGTGTTTCTACATTCAGAATAATCATTGTAAAATAATATCCTCCATAACAATTTCCAGTCGATGGTTCGTAATTATTAAAATCATCGGATAAAATTTCCATGGTGCCAGTATAAGGATTTAAACGTACTAAACGACAGCCACGCTTACTCTTAAAGTTTTGCATACCATAGAAAGCATCCATTTTATTATCATAACATAAATACGATGGTAAATAAGAATTTGAAATTTGACTTATTATTCTTCTTTTCTGTAAATCAATACCAACAAGAACATCTTTGATACCATACGGTACTGTCACAAAGTATTGATGATTTGTTAAATTATAAAAGATTGTCATTGAATCAGGTTGCACACCATTGGTTTTGGTAATATTTACCCATCGTTTAGCTTTAAAATTAATTGGATCTATCTGGACAATATTCACAGGATTTTCTCCTGTGTCTGTCATTTGTAATGAATATAATTTTCCTGTACTACTATCAACACGTAAACCAAATAGTTCAGCATAATTTTCTGTGATAATTGTTTGATAATGTTTTGTACCATTGAATGGGTTAATCAAAATCAATGACGTCGTTGATTCTCTTCTTATTGTTTCTTCACTACCAAAAACATAGAATATCTTATTAATAAGATCGTAGGTAACATCATAAGGTTTGTAATCACTCAAAAGAGTGAATATTGTAAATTCTCCAGTTAATGGATCAATTTTGTATAATTTGTTTGATGCTGATACAAGTTCATACGTTGTTCCTAATAAATAACCTTTTGGAACTGTTCGTATGCCATTGATTGTAGTAAAGATGATGTATGACAATAGTAATGAAAATCAAAAAGAATAATTCATTAATCTAAAATTTCACACAAATGTACATTCTCAAGCTTTGGATGTCATATGTGGGAGTTTCGTCTATACCTGTATCAACAGTAGTACAGACTGATTTCGAAAAGAAAAGTTCTATTTTTAAGGGTCAACATTTTTCGCGCCAGAGCTGATAATAATTTTTTCTGTCGTTTAAAATGCAAGAGAATTTTGAGATTTCTGATCAATTTGTACATAAAACATCGGACTCGAAAACAAATCGATACATTCATACAATAAAGTCAAAATAAATTTCGCGACGAAAAACTTTGGGCACATTTATGAAGAAATTCGAGATGATCATGAGTGACGTCGGTCAAAAAAAGCAAGCTCTGCAAAAAAGCAACAGGCGATAAAACCACAAAATAGTGTTTTTCCGATTGATAACTCTTATGTATGTATTAGGGTTTTGTTATACCTTATCGATTTTCTTTTAAAATATATCGTTCGTTTCCGGACGACTGAGAAAACTCAATCATTCTCTTCGAATTGCTGCAACACATCTTAACTTTTACCGACGACTAAACGATATTTTTCGATTCTTCAGGAAGGTCGTCTCTCACGGCATCTCCTAATTCTAATAGTGCTTTGTTCTTAGGAAATGTGTTTTTGCATACAAAATTTTATGAGTCAACTATATAAGGTTAGAAATCAGTCTATTCTTTTTTTTCGACGAATAACAGCGTAGCATTAAGAAAAAAAATGTACTAATATTTGAGTCCAGATGAAAACAGATACATCTATTCATTTAAATCGTATCAACTTCTCAGAATATTTAAGAAACGGTATAGCTCAATTTTTAAATACATAAGGATCCGTCCTTTTAAGCTAGCAATTTTCAATAGTTCTTTAAAAAATAACACGCAGAAGAAAATAAAAATGATAATCATAACGTCAGATGAGAATCTTATTCGTCAAGTTGCTTCGAACAAAAATGAAAATGCATATATTATTAATTTGGATAATAATATGAATAATTTGAATTCTCTTCCTGAATTAACTCGAAAGGATCAAGTTTATAAATGAACAAGTGACATTACTGATCATAATCAATCAAAACCAGTTAAAACACGAAAGAAATCGATTGATTTAATTTGTACTATTTGTGGTGATCGTGCTATTGGATATAATTATGCAGTTCTTTCATGTGCATCATGTAAAGCTTTTTTCATCGAAATGGTCAACAGCATCCACTTAGTTAATTCTCAAGTTTTTTTTGTTTGATTTGATTTACTTTCAGAAAAAATTCAAATGTTTAACAAATCATGGTCAATGTATAATTGATTATAAAATAAGTCGTAAATATTATCGATGTCGATTAGAACGATGTTTTGCTATGGGAATGCGAAAAGATTTACTTCTAACTCAAGAAGAAATACAACAAAGAAAAGATTCACGAACGTAGGTGAAGTTAGCAGCTGATTCAAGTAATTCCGGCAGCGATTCGCCTCGGAACTTGGTCCAATGTTCCTATTCTTGGTCCAAGTACAACTCCATGAGCTCTATTCAATGATATGCTCAGATTTTCGATAGACCAAAGTATGACTTTGGGGCTGATAGATAGCGCTAGTGAGCATCTGAAAATTACACTTTGGGCTATCGAAAATCTGAGCATACCATTGGATAGAGCTCGTAGAGTTGTACTTGGACCAAGAATAGGAACGTTGGACCAAGTTCATAGGCGAATCGCTGCCGGAATTACTCGAATCGGCTGCTAACTTCACCTACGTCATAATAATAGTAGTAGATAAAATTGACATAATCCACAAAAGCTAATAAGTAATACATGAGAGAAAGAGCAAGATATTGGCAATGATTTGCATTTATTTTTCTCACTACTAATTGTCATAGGCTCGAAAAATAAAAAATAATTGTACAATTATAATTTTCTAATATGTATAGAAAATTTTCATTTTTATAAGACATTGATTATCTAATCAATCTATATAAGATCTTAATATATTTATGAAAACACAACGAATGACTTTTTATATTTGGTTATTTTAAAAAGCACATGTGTTCTTATTACTTTCAAATCAAACTTATCCATTCGTGAATATCACCGTATCTTTACTTTACTAATAGAAATAAAATTGTTAAAAATTATTTTTTTCGATGGTTAAGTTTAGATTAGAATTCTTTTAAAATTTTTTTAATGACGAATTGAACTCATAAGCTTAATTTTTTATGTTTCTATTTTAACAAAAATAAAAATTTTCAATATTTGTTTACATGAAAACAGAATATTATTATGCATTGAGATTAATGTATAATGTTGAGCTAGAAAATAAAAAAGAAATCAATTATTTTATCAAAACGTAGTAAAAATAAAGTAGCATTCTTATTATCAATTAGTTCTTAAATATATTCAATAATTGAAAAGTAATCTAAAGTATGATTAATATAGATTTTATTATAATAATAGTTAATGAGAAAAAAACGAAATTTTAAAATTTGTTTTTCAAGAACAATGATATGATCATTTACATCGACATCTGGTGTATGAACAAAGCCAAGACGTAATAATAAAGTTAATGTAATAAAATATTTCGTTCATCTAATAATGTATAATATATATAATAATCTAAAAGAGAATATTTTCAATTTGAAAAAAATATCTTTTCTTTTTTTAAATAAAAATCTCGTTTAAGAAAAATTCTTCCCTTGTTATTTAGCTTCAAATAGTCAACCATTAACAAGTTCATATAATATGTAAAATCAATCGATTAATGATTTAACATTATTCTCATCACCAACAGTAATAAATAAGCAAGATTTATCCAATAGCAAAAATTTTCAACAACGTGCAAAAAAGTCCTGATCATCGTCGTAATAATAGTCAAGCAAATATAACATCATGAATACTGCCAAGCTTTTCGGCAATTGAAAATCAAGAAAAAAGACGTGCTATTATTTGCAAAGTTCTTTTTTTTTTATTTGAAACGAACAAAGTTTTTTTTAACAAATTTCTTCATCATTTGTGAAATAAATATTTAGTTGAAAGTCAGTTGATATTTAGAAAAACACCTCTTTTGTTTTTGTTAACATAAGACGGCGAATTTCGTCAGCAACTATTACAGAATTCAACTCAAAAAAAAATCACTTATCTTCTGACATAGCATTTATAAAGGTCAAAAAACCTATGATAATTAAAGAGACATTCATTTTGATGAATTGAATCGCAATGAAAAAGTAACTCAATTGCTCTGACTTCATAACATGACGATATGTTTATGATGTAATAACATATAGATTCTTATCAAGTATTACAACATGCGTTTTAACCGATATAAATAAGAAAAGAAAAAAAAATGAGAATAGAACAGTGACTATTGTCATATTTAGATGTAAGAAAAACAAGTCAAATAAAATACAAACGTTCTATTTCAATAATTGGTAAGCATAAAACTAGACTCTCTCTTTATCTATAAAAATGCATAGGAAAATAAAACATCAACAGATCACTGTGTCTAATATTGATTTTTATCTCAGTATTATTCAAATAAATAATCTTACAAATAGATAAATCATCTTGAATTTTGAATAAATTAAAATATTTTCTTTATTTTTTATTTTCATTTATTAAATAGAATAATGTGGCATCCAGATGATTTTGTGTTTATACCTGGTCAAACACCATTGACTTCTTTGAAATTTCTTCTATTTATTTCGTTCGTTCATTTCATTATTACATATGCTTTAGAAATATATATGGCTAAACGTACTAAACCAATAAATGTACGTCGTATTCAACGTTATAATAATATAATTATTGGTATATATTCAGCTATATCATTTCTATCAGCTAATATAATTGCATATAGAGATGATCGATTTGTTTCTTGGAATCGATTAGTATGTCATAGACCACCTGCAAGAGGCTCCTATATGCTTCTATGGTATATATTCTATTTGAGTAAATTATGGGAATTTCTCGATATTTACTTGGTTATTTTAAATAAAACTCCAGTACTTATGCATTTTCGTTGGCATCATCAAACAACACCATCAGTTGTATTAGCTGGTTTAATTGGTAATATATCATATGAATGGCCAACAATTGTTTCCAATACACTTCTTCATACATTTATGTATCCACATTTTGCTGGTATTTGGAATGCATATCCAATTCTACTTGTGTTAGGTGCTTGGCAATTAATTGTTGGTCTTAGTTTCAGTGTCTATGCAATAATAGTTGGCTGTGATGGTTCATTTTATGCTCAACTATGGGGTTTATTGATGTACATTACTTATACAATTGGTTATCTTAATGAACACTTTCATCTAATTGATCGTCTTATAGTTTTTATTTCAACTACTCGTCATCCTTCGAAAACATTTTAATATTTATTTGAATATAATATTCAATAACTATTAAATAAAATTATAAATATGATTGTTGTTACTAACTATTCAAATAAGAATCACTAAAAGATTACTAAGAAAGCCTTTTAAAGATCATGTATCTATTATTTTGAATATTCATCTTGTTACACCAAATTTACACTAAATCCTCACTATTGCCAATATGTCAATGTTTTAGAATATCGGTCGGCGAGTTTGAAATATGATAACATTCATCGTCTTCCACTTCTACGATTAGCTGAAAATACAATACAAAGTTTAAATCTATTTAGCTTTAGTTCTATGATTATATTTCATTGTTCAAAAATAAATTTAACATAAAGAAAAAATAAAAATCAATAATAAATAGGCACTTTTGCTTGATTACATATCGTTATATAATCTCACTTTAAAAATTAAAATGAAAAAAAGTAATTTACCGTTGTTTCAACTGATGATATATTTTTATCGACAATAAATAAATAAATAAATAAATAAAATAATTAATTTATACTTACTTTTCGTTAAATTCTTTATCTTATTTTGCCATCATAAACAGTCATTTAAAAGTGTGTTCAGATTTGATCTAACTTTAGTGAAAAACAGATTTGCATCGTTATATTAAAAAAAAAAAAGATTTCAAAATTACATCATTGAATTCGATAGATTGACTTCGATCTGAAGTAACTTCAAATCTATATTATAGTCGAATTTTTACAAATACTATCGATGAATCGTATCATAAATATTGTTTTTGCCTTAGATAAAACGCAAGCCTTCTATTATTGTAATAAATATGAATTAATGTATAAAGAGAGTTTGTTTATCAAAAAACCATTATCTGTTATATCAAGTAACTCTATTGACAGATATATTGCAACATTTATTGTAGCAAACATATGACAAGTTCTCTCTTGTCAAAAAACATGTCAATATTCTTCAAGATATACGAGAAGAATAAGATGTTTTATTTCTGTTTTATAATATTAATTTTACTTACGATAACAATAGTAGTGAAATACTTCTATTTGCCTTTATTTACTCAGAGATATTTTAGAAATTCCTAATTTTTACAGGCTCAAATAAATCAAGTATGCTATTTCAAAATAATCAGTTCATATGATTAACATCACTTTTATTCATCCATCTATTTACAAATATTTATTCATTTAACTGATTTTATTGAATTGAATTACGATTAGAGATTGATACATCAAGAAAATTAAGTCGACTCGAAAGAATCGTTTAAATATGTGTTGATATATTAGACCTATCACCTCACTAAATTCAATTTTTATTCGTTTAGTCTCTTGCATACAAAAGATATCGTCGTGTAAGGTCGTAAATCTACCACCTCTCTTATGTTTTATTACCAATAGATTAGAAATATAGAGCATGAAATTCTGCTTATATTTGTTTATTTATTTTTCGTTTCATTGAATATCTAAAAGAAGTTTTCAAGATCTAGTTAGTCTTAAGTTCTCCATCAGTTTTGGAGTTTTTCGATAATAAACATAAGAATGATTATATTTTCTTGTTCAAATTGAATATGAAAACTTATTGTGTCGATTAACATAGTTTATCATGTTCTACAAATAGACATAATGATCATATCTACTATTAACTTTTCTCCCATATTATATAGTATCATTAAAAAACGCAATAGATATTATTCTCATATATTATGTAGACTAATTTTCATACACTTTGTAGAATTTTGCTTTATTTAAATAGCAAATTAGCATTAATAATTCTTATGATATTATTCTACATAGTGTTGAGAAAAATCTTTTGATTGAAATTTTTTTTCAAAAACGGTTCAGTTCATTCAATGAATCAACTCAAAGACCTAGTGAGCCAGATGCAGCTCGATGAACTCTATCAAAAACTAAATTCACATATTTTATGAAAGCAAAAGCGTTGATTTTCGGCTATGGAGAAAAAAGAAAGAAATCTTTTTCTCTAAAAATTTGTTCCACAGCCTAATTCACTAATAAAATTTCGTTGATTGGATGCAACTGAATAAGTAACTGAGATAGTTGAACAAATTGTTCGAGGAAATGCCTGCTTAAAAGCAGCTTTTGGGTATTTCAGATATCCTGATCAAAGTTGTGTTGTTTTCAATTGGATGAAACATTTACCATTATATATATATATATATGGTTCGTTGAACCAAATCAAATGAGCTAAGTTTCATTAATGACTCAGGTCGTGGAGCAAATCATCTGAAAAAAAACCTTTTTTGTTTTTTTTTTAATAGACGATAATCAATATTTTTGCTTTGATTTATGTCGATTGGCTTTCATAAAATAATGGGAATACAATTTTCGATAGGGCTCTACGAGCCGCATCTAACTCACTATATTCGTTAGGTGGTTCAGTTAATGGAACGAATCACTTTTCGAAAAAGAAAACTCGAATCGGCTGCTAACTTTCTTTAGATATTCATAAAACGTATGAAAATTCACCTATGTTATATGAGAATAGAATAGTATCTATTGTATTTTTATGATTCTACATAATATAAAAGAGAAGCTAATAGTAAATCTAATCTCTATGTCCATTTGTAAAGTATGAAAAACTGCATTGATCTATACTATTTTTGTATTTAATTTAGAAAACAAAAAGAAAAAAAAATAATAGCTCTTCTTGTTATTATCGAATATATTTTAATATGATATTGACCTCAATACGATTAAGATCTTGATATTTATTTTAGACGTTCAGTTTAAATAAAAACTAAATAAATAGAAAATAGCATGCAGACCTTTATGCTTCATCGCTCTAACCAATTGAAATAAAAAGTGAAGAAAATGGCAGATTTACAATTTAATCCGATAATATCTTTTCTTATAATTAACTGTTTATTGTTTTTTAATTAACAAATAAATAACATCATATGAATGAAACAATATTGATATGTATTTACTAAAAAATCAATAATTATCATCTCGTTTGTTATATTTTAATAAATTGTGAATTTATTAAAAATAATATATTGATTATTTATATATTTTAAATTTAAAATAAGATTTATTTGATCAGCTATTATCATACTGATAGAAATGATTTTTTACTATTCCAAATATTTATTTTCTGTGTCCTTTTCTTATTTTTTGAATGGTACATACAATCATCACATTAGATTGATAAAAGAATGGAAATATCTCGGTAATGAAGTAAGCATCATTATCATACAAAAAAGAAAACATTTACAAAGAAAAAATTCTTTTAAATTTTTACATAAATTGATTGAAATTCTCTAGTTATGCTTTTTTTTTTTCTTTTCATTATATCAAATATAAATATTTTTTGATGATATTAAAAATGGTTTATTGTTTATTCTCTTTCATAGGTTAAATCCTATCATTTCCGTTGTTTTTCTGCTTAGACTATATAGGAATGCATTGCCACGATCAGTGTTGACTTGTTTTTTTTCCTTTTTGCTGTTCTTTCTATATAATATGTAATCGACTGGAAGCGAGAAAATAAATTATGACGTTTGTTATTTTTCTTTTTGTTATTATTAGCTGTATCTCTTTTGCATTTAATCATAACATTAAAGTTCGCATCATCGAAATGCAATACAAGCAAGGAAGTGAAAAAGTGGATATGATAAATACATCTTACATACCTGTTTCAAGACCATTGTCATTAACTGAAGATCCTGAAATACAACGAACTCGAAAAATTCTTTTAATTATACTTAGCGTATGCCTTGTAAGTTTTTATTTTTATTTTTATTATGATTCGATAATAATTACAAAAATGTTTTATAATTATATGAATATCATATATAGATTTAGAATTTAATCATAGATCAATATTAGTTTTTTTTTTTTTTTTTTGTTTAAATAAATAAAAGTAAAATAATTATTAAAACAATGAATATAATATAAAACTAGTAACGATCAATGTTGTTGTTATTTGAGAAAAGTTATATTTTTAATAAATATTGTCAATTTGAGTTCTGACATAATATTAAATAAGACAAGAGATTTATTTGAATAAATACAATTTTATCTTTTCTTTACCAACATACAGATGAAAATCGACTTGATTGATATAAAATCAAAAGATAATTTGACTAAATTTATAATAGTTATTATCTAACAATATTTATACTCCATGAGAAATATTTATCTATAGAAATTCGAACGATCTCTTTTTAATTTATATTATAATTCTATATAATTTTTTTTAAGGCTTTTTCTGTGATCAGTACTATAAGTGCTATATCTGGAAATGGAATGTCTAATAGTATGCAAGAAACTCGACGTGGTACACAAATTGGTCAATCTCTTATTTCACTTCTTTTCTATGGATTTGGAATATTTGTTGCTTATCAATATTATGAAACTGGTTTACATGTAGTATGTTTTTATTTTTAATATTCTATAATTGATTTTAAACGAGAATTTAGTTTAACTTTAAAAGATTTTTAGAAGAAAATTTTAATCGATTTTATCTTAATAAATAATGAATATAATATTTTTTTTGTTAATCATATTAGTTATTTTTGATGAATCTATATGAGAAATCTCTTTCAAAATATTTCTTTGGAATTCTTTTTAGTCTTTATGAGAAATTAAATATTTTTATTGAGATAATTTGATGTTTTTTTTTAATTAAATGATCGATAATTATGGAAAATTGATTGAAAATGCTGATCTAACTGATCAGCGTGAAACATATTTGACATTGATGAGATTATGATTAAAACTATTTAAAAAAAAAAGTTAAATTAAACAATCAGTTATATCTCATTGAAAATAACATACCATTAATAATCAAATCATTTCGAAATTTAACGTCGTGTCACGTCTTCATCAAACTGAATACTTTTTCATTTGTTATTAAAAGCATATTTGTTTACTAAAAAACTAATACTATCCTTATATATATAGTGTCAAGTCAAATCGAAATTGTCTTCAATGAAGAATTTTCTTGCGAGTTAGTCTTTGTTATTATTCATGATCAAAAAAGTTGACAAAAAAAATCAATATCAAGATGATAGGATCATGCGAAAAAATAATTTATAAAAAACGACTTTTTATAGTTTCAACTATTTTGAGATCTAATATAAACGTATTGATATTGGAGATTTCTTTAAAAAAAAGCTGCAGTAACATATTAGTTGAATATTTATTGAATAAAATATTTCTATTAAAACTGATATATTTATATTCTACCTTTAGTTTGCTTGGTTAGGTATAATTGCAATGGTTCTATTTGGTATTGCAATTGTAATTATCCTCATTCTTCTTCTCGCAGCTTCATCTACTCTAAAGATGAGTGATCATTTTGTCAGCGAAGGTTTTATGATTGGTATTTCAATAGGTATCTTCTTCACTGTTCTTATTTGCATTGCTTGTTTGATTCTTACAGTAAGTTTTTTTTAATCGCATTCACGTATGTTTATCTTATGCTTATATTACTTTTTAGATAATCATTGTAAAATTATCTTTCAAATTGGCTAAATTGATTGAATCAAAAAAGTCTTTAAATACTCAACAAATCTAACTTTTCCTTTACTGGACATTTTAATCATTTGAACTTCTATTCAGCTCATTTGTTTTTTCTAGTTTCTCATTTATCATTTCTTTCTTGTCGTAAAAGCTATAAATAAATGTCAAAGATTCTTTTCCTTATCGATATATAACTGAATAGAATAATTATTTATATATTTAGATTATCTCCCAAGACAAATATCAGTCTTTTATATTTATTCAATAGAATAAATATGGCTAAAACTGTCTTTAGATATAGTTAATGTGATGAGTATCATTTATGAAAAGAAGCGATCAAATTAATTGATTCATTAGAATATTAAAAGGCTAGAAAAAACCATCGTGTAATTCCCTCGACTGAAAGGAGGGTCATACGGAATAAAATGCGTTGTTTCTTTGTGTGTTTGCTTGAGGCAGTGTTCCGAATGATGAGTGCACCAAGCAAAATCAAAGTGAGTGAGCCACGCACTTATTTTTATTTGCACGCTATTTTGCACTCCACTCGAAAAAATAGAAGGCATATGCTGCACTCTATTATAACATTTTTCACTTCGTTTTTTTAAATTTATATTGGTTTTTTCATCTTTACAATGAATTTTCTTATTTATTGTGTTCTTTGATTCAAGCAAATAGTCTTTTCTTATTCTTATCTCAGATAAGGAAAAAAAAAGTCATCTAGACACTCAAACAACATTTCTAGAAAAGCTTTTCATTCAATCAATCAGATCATTATTCGATCAATCAAAAGAAAATTCAAATAACAGTAACCACCAAATGACTTCGAAACAGAGCTGTCGCGAGCGAGGGGTCACATCCTAATCTTTAGAATTTTTTTTTTGGCTCAAGGCTTTCCAAAAACTTTAGAAGAATCTTCGAAAATTTTCAAAAATCGTTAACAATCTTCAAATATTCTTCAAAAGTTTCTAAAACTCTTCAAAAATCTTTGAAAAAGGTAAAAAAAATTCTAAAATCTTCAAATATTTTCAAAGATCTCCAAAAATTTTCAATGAATGTGTCAATTTCTTTTTTAAAATTTCGATAATTTATATACGTTTTTGAAAAATTTTCGGAAAACTTTGTCCACCCCAATCTTTAACACCTCGCAACAGCTCTACTTCGAAATCATATTTATTTTTAATGAACTAGAATGAATATCTAGATATATAGATAGTCCTCATCGCTGATTTAGTTTGTGTTAATCTTGTGATTTAATGATGATTTCTATTTGTATTTTTCTCTTCGAATCTGTAAATTTTGTCACTAAATGATGATCTACATATTTTTTTTTGATAATTATTTATATGTATACATGCACATAGAAGTCTAGAGTATGAAACATAAACTATTATTTCTTTTTTCTAGACGTATTTATACATTTGCACTTTGCTGCACTTTGGCTCTTGAAACAGAGTGCAACATCTCACTTTACCTCCAGAAAAAGAGTACGATATCGCACTTTATATCGAATTCTCATTCGGAACACTGGCTTGAGGTCAAAAAAAAACATATAAGAGAGGTCAGTCTATTTGAAGACTTTTTGCTGTTTTGACGAAACTTTGCTATAAGTTATCGATGGTCCGGCATTCGAATCCGAAGTCACGTTTTTTGGCTGAGCTTTCATTAGTCGGGAAGGGGCCAATTAGAAGCGAGCTTGTTCGTGCTGATCGAAATAATTTAAAATTCACGTACAGTTGATGATGTGAAGGAGGACGTAAGTGAGAGAAGTCGAAATTTTCTTCAGCTTTATGGGGTAGGCAAAAAGGACGGGATCGAAGAGGTGAAGTATCTTGAAATGCTGAAGTCCCAGTGTTTGTGTGAATGTCATGCGAATGGAAGCTGTATTTTCTGGAACTATGAAAGAAATATCGTTCCCTCGTTTTCTTATAGCGAATACAGCAATTGAAGAAACGAGACATATGACTAGAGCTTCGCATTTCCTAGAAAATGGAGCCGAGAACTAAACAGAAAACAATTTTCTAATCTATAATGAAAGCCCGTATAAGAATTTGCTTTAAATAGAGTTGATGATTTCTTATGTAATTGCAAAGATAAATACTATGATACCTATCGAAACAAGTAACAGGACTTTCGGCCGCTAATCCCTCTACTAAAAGGAGTGTAATGTGGTAAAAACACAATAGCCTGGCTAGTTTCAGAATCTTAGATTCCATCCATTGATCTGTCCTGTTCCCTCGATTGAAGAGAGGGTCATATGAAATAAAATGAGTTTGCATGTGTCAGGATCAAACAACGCATAGATCAAAAGATCGATGGTCAGTTGTTTTTGACATCTAGCTCTTGTAAGTAGGATTCGGAAATACAAATAGTTCTAGACAAAAGTGAAAATTTGAGAGGAAACAGAAACATCGTCGAACTACGATCTGAGAGGATTGAGAGATGGGTTTAGTTCAATCGTGACAATCGACTGCGAGCTGTTTGCTTAAGTAAATCTTAGAAGTTCAGAATGGAAAATAGAAAGATCCGAATATTTTACAAAATGGTCATCACTGACAATGCTATAGACAAGTTTTCGTCTGTGCACATGTTGCACAATAATTGTTACAGCAGAACTGAGAAAACGATAACAGATGATAACAAGATTGAATTCAGTCGAGGGTTAAGCGAGTCCTGCCGACGAGCGTTACTTGTTATTCTTACAGATTTATTTTCATGCTGCTTTTTCATGACAACAAGTGTTCTGCTTTAGAGTAATTCTGAACTCATGACGATTGTTCAACTCAAAAAATTCACGAAACTCGAAAAGATTATGAAAATTTCAGAATTAAAGCTGTCTAAGGAACTCAAGAAACCTTAGGAACATAGGAAACTCAAAGTAATTAGGTATAGGTATGGACGATTCTGATTTTTACAAGTAAAAAAAAGCTTGGCATTGTACGTCTTGTCATGCAAGATAATGCGCATTTCATTATTGATTATTTAACATAAAAGTTAAAATCAATAATTTAGAAGTATATGTAAACAATCACTTACGATACAGAAAAAGAAGGTAGTTCTAGCTCAGTTTAACGTAATATACGTTCTACTCAATTGTCTACGTGAGAAATTTAGAATTATCGAATTGAGAATTAGAATCGATGCTGAAGATTATGATACGATTCGAGAACTAGAATAATTCAAAGAATTCTCAAAAACTTCACTTTCAAAAGTTCTAACACTTCAAAACTCAGGAAGCTCGGTGATTGATAGGAAATTAAAACATTCAAGTTCTCAGAAACTATATACTCAGTGAGTAAAAATCTATTAAATGAATGGTTAATGTCTCAAGCAAAAAGCAATTGGACAATTGGCTGGCAATGTTCTCTCTCGTTAGATCTAATTATGGTTTATTTAATATTATTTCAGTATGTAATAGTTAATTCCTGGGATTCTTCATCTATGGAAACCGTTTGAATAAGAATATTTCAACATATTTCTATTAATAACGCATGTAACTCTAGAAAAAGATCTATCAAGATAGAAATAAATAGAATATTGATTACATATTCTTTTCTACGTATAAATATATAGAATTTCATTTACGTCGTAAATGCACAACAAAGAGCAGACTTTTATTAAATACATTTTTTTATTTCAATGTTAGAAAAACGATATAGTATATCTATGACTGGAAATCTGACGGACATATTTTGAAGAAAACATGATGAGCAAGAGAGAGAGAGACAGAGTTTTGCTTTAGTAGAAGGTTCTAATCGATGAAAAAATTCTTTTTTAGCATTTTGTTCTTTTATTGATAAATCTTTAATATTATCGTGTCAACTTATAAAAACCTTTTCTTTTTGTAAATCATCTAAATGTTTTGATATTTCAATTTCTAATTTAGCTATAAATTCTTCAATTATTTTATTGATAATTGTTCGTTCTATGGATGAGATTTCCGAATATCGATCATGAAGAATTTTATCAGCTGTTAAATTAACACCATGAAAATCGTAAAAATACAAATCAATATCTTTTGAAACAGATGAATTAAAACAACTATGAATTTTATTTTCACCATCTGCAACAATATCTGATCAATCTCCATGAAAAAAAAAACATTTTTCTTGCCAACTAATATTTTATGGTTGTTTGTGATGAAGTTTAACCTTGATTGATGACTCTTCTTGTGATGAACTTGTACCACACATTGTCAAGCTATAACATAAAAAGATAGTTATTTTGATATTTTTTTACTTCATTTAATTAATCAAGAAATGAAAAGAGAAATAACACTAGACGAGTATTGTTTATTTTCTACAATTAGAAAAATAAAATGATAGAAAAATGATTCCGTTTATTGAATTATAATCAAGAAAAATTAACTCAATAAGAGCTCAAGAGTGACAGAATAATAAAAATTTTTTAGTGCAGAGTCTCATTGAGACTTAAATGTGTAATTCACATGTATTTTTAAGCTTTACGTGAAATAAAAAAATCTCTTTCATTTACTTTTGTATTTTAAACAGAAATTTCTTTTTTTAAATATCGCACATTTTTTGTTTGCGATGTTGCTATTTCACTGGTTATTCGTCTTTTTTGTATTAGGTTGTTCTTAATAAAACATTCCTATAAATCTAATCATTTATTCAACTTATAAATATTTATTATATATAGATCAGATATCAACGCACTTTTATATATATTGATAATCGGCATTATTTTTCAAATTTATAACTTGAGTAATTAATATTTTAAAGATTGATTATATGACGACAATTGTAACAAATCAATTGATGATAAACAATTATTGACATTTTGAATAGAAATAATTATCTGCATAAAAATCAAAAAGTGCACTATCTAGAATAGTCACAAATGTATTTCAGTTATACAAAGTTGAATAAAAGCTTTCAAATGTGTTTAAACAGTCAGAATTTCTTCCCTTCAATTCTACTCAGTGCTTTTTCGCGTTATTAATGAGCTGTTGGGACAGAGACATGACACCTATTTTTTCGGTTGTTAAGGTCTGCAACAGGGACAAGGAAGTCGCAAAAGCTTCTATCTAAAACTTATACTTGCTATTCTTTTCGAAAATATGCCTAAATTTCACAAAATAAAATTGGCTTACAGTGGAAGCTTCCCAAACGTCAATTTTCCATTGAAATAATGTTTTGACTTATGAATAGATCTCAACGAGATTAGTAAAAGTCCATAATTGTTCATTCGGATACATTATCCTTGCCAAATAATTAAAATTTTACTAATTCTTTTTTTTTAATGTTTGATGATTTATTTGAAAAAAACTCGTAGTATACTATGTCAACATAATATTTGATCTATAATCAAGCCTTTGGACCTTAAAATACCTTGAAGATTTGAGCGTAAAAGAATATATTGTTTTTTATATGTCGAATATAGAGTAGTTTGGGACATTTTCTTTTTATAGATGATTTTTATTTTGAATATTCAATATCTGAAGAAGAAGACATTCTTTTATGGCGAAATTTTCAAGCCATTATAAGATTCATACAACTAGTTTATGAGTAAAATATCAGTTCGATTGATGAGTCACACTTAGGAACATTATTAATGATTCTAAATAAAATTTCTAAAAATAAAACATCTATAGACTTCGTTAATAATCACAAAAGCATCGAGTTGATATTGAGTTTTGTTTGTTCAATAGTCCTGTTGTTGACTTAATAAGAACATTTTAACTGTGTTGACAAATAAACATAAGACGAAATAAAAACTGTAATTAAACTCAACTAAGATGGAATATATTTAATCTAGATAAAGAATAGCATAGATATTCAGTCATAACTTATACTTATTATATGTTATTTCATATCTGAAATTTATAAATGTTCGATAATAACGAAGGAGATAAATATTTTCTAATTGAATATTTATTTCACTTCTCCAACAAAAGATATTCGAAGCAAAAAAAAAGTTAAATAGAAATCATATTTTATATCAATTTTTGCATTAATTATATCTGAAAAATCACCTTATTCAACAATTTGTTGTAAGCTTGTTACATCTATTCGTTCTATTGAGATATTTAGTCTTTGCAATAGTGATACCGTTTCCATTTCACCTAAATGTGTGTTATTTGAAGAAGAAAAACTAATGATTAAACTATATCAAATATTTACCTATTGTTTTAGTTCAAGTGTCTCTTGCTGTTGGTATTGACAATAATAATAAAGTTAATTTTAAAATAAAACTAATCATGAAAATATAACAAATACATTTACTTGTAAAGAATTTCGTTATTACTGGTGGTTTCGATATTACTTAAATATAAAAATTTTATCTTTAAAAGAAAAAGCTATTGATCATGATATGAAAAATATTTACCGAAAGTTGGCTTGAGTGTTACTGTTCTTGCAGGCACTACTTATGAAAGTTTATTATTAAAAAAAAAAAACTACTGATAAGAATATGAAAAATATTTACGACATTCTGATGAAATAGGAGTTGTAATATTAACTGGCATTCGACTTGAACAACTCGAACCCATTATTAATGGTTATCTAAAAAAGAAATTCTCATTTAATCAACATTGACACAACAATAAAAAGAAAAAAACAGTTTCGTTTACAGTTTTATTATTTACAGTTAGATTTAATAATCGCTATTTTATTAATATTAAAATAAAAATAATTATCTATATATTCATTTTGATTAATCAAAAATTAATTTTTTAATACTAAAATGATTTTCTATTAATTATTTAATTGATTAATGATCTTCTATCGGCTAGAATTCTTCTAGATCTTATTGTCTCAATGTAAATCAAACAAAATAAATTTATTCCGAAGATCAGCAGTATTTTTTCCTTATAAAAAGAATTTACTCAAAAAGAAACCTATTCAAAATGAAATCAACCAAGAAAATCAAATGTTAAAATTATTGAAAAATATTCTCAAAGTATTTAATTTGATAGTTAAACAGAAATTATTCTCAAATATACTCTTTAATAAATCTTCTATGGTTATTCTCATTGTTGAACAAGTCTATTTATTTATTTTGATATATATTATTTTATCCTTGACTACTCTTATTATTTATGTAACAAAAAAATATTTCAATGAATTAATATAAAGCGATCTAGATTTGTGTCGTTAATATAATCTATTATAATCTATCTTATTTTATTTGATTCAAAAATAGTATTGTCGTAGAATAAAAGTTCATTGATAACAACTATTCGATAAACATGTCAAAATGATCTCTTCTGTATTTAAAATTGTACTAAAAGATTCGTGTTTGGATAGGATAGATCGAAATAAAATATTCATTTTTATATAAGAATAAATCTCCAATTGAATACTTACATAACATTGTATCAAGCTCATTATAGTAAATAATAACCATTTCATGATTATTACTTTCTAATCTACTAGATCTGAACATCTGAAAAAAACTGACCACAGTCATTGTCTACACGATAATATTAAAATTGTTTTATCATGTTCCATATATGTCATATCATTTCAATGGAGACAAGTGTAACGTTCGACCACTAACTTTTCCTAAAATTTAATTGAAAAGATCTTGGAATGGTGTGCTACTGATTTTAATGTTCGAATAAAAATTAAAGTAAGAGCTATGAGGGAGATTCATACTATTTTAATTAGATTTTTTGAATAAACAAAAGAATAGTTTTCGAAAATAAAGACGTTTTTTTTTAAATAAAACTTGACCGAAGATTTCCGAGGTCGACGAATCAAAATCTATAATCGATTTCTCAACATTTTTGAATTCGATATTTCCAATGAGAAGAAGTCTATTTCAAACAAATAGTTTAATTTTATGAAACATAAATAAATCGCAATAAATAGCATTCTACCGATCAAACTAAACTGGAACCGACAATTTAAAAAAAACGATTAGAAATTTGAATTTGTCGATTCTAGAAAGATTTAGTCAACGTTTTATTTAAAAACCAGTTTTCTTCTAATTAGACTTGTTTTTATCAAAAGAAAAACCGAATTAAAATAGTAAATAATTCTTACTCATAGTGATGATCTTTATTTCCATTCGATTCGAAGTATATATAGGCACCACACCATATCAACTAGCAAAAGCTACCGGTGGCTCTCGATCTTCATTTTATTCTTATGTAATTATAGTTAGGTTTTATTTATTAACAACAATAGTCTTACTGAGAAAAAAAAACAAACTTTCATTCGTTTAAGTATGCATATGATAGTATATACTTTAACTAGAATGAATATAGAAAAGAATAAAATGAAAGTTACAGTGATGTTGATAATGATCAATGCAACAATAATAATTGCAATCGTCTCTTATTTGTTCAATGTAATATGCAATGTTTTAAAGATAAACGAGAAAAAAAAGATCGAAAAGAAATAAATTAATATAAGATTATTAAAAAAGAAAAGAAGAAAAAATTGTATATTGATAATATTATTTTGTTTGAACATGATTCTGAATAAAGCCTTTAAAAGGCGGCACATATAAATATAATCTATAAATTAATATTCTTATGAGCAAAAAACAAAAAAAAAAAAAGATAAATTCTATCAACATAATTCAATATCATGAAGAATATTTCTTTTGTCCGACCAATGTTTGATTGTTTGCTTAGATATTTTATCATAAAAGATTCAACACTTAAACCATACTTTCTAAACAATGTTTTAATAGATTTTTGAAAGATGACTATTGAAATTCGGTTCATTTTTTTTATTTTCATATGTTAGCAAGTCAATATTGATTATTAGTATATGATTATCATTTTTGTTTATCTATTCCTATAAGAAAGGAATAATTTTTATAATCAAATAAAACTTTAGTAAAAGAAAAAATCAATATAAATACAAATCTATATCGACTTGATATTGTTCTCATTCGATTCTTTTTTCTTTATTTCTAAAATATATTCATAATGAATTATATACAACATCCTTACAAAATAATCATATGAATTTATTCATTCATTAAACATGATTATTTTCCCTTGTTTAAGAATATTAACTATGATAAAACCATTTTTCTTTTCAACATTATGAATTGTCTGATATGTCTGATATGTCTGATATGTTCGTAATCCTATTATTTTTACAAGAATTCGTTATCATAGGAATTACAGATTATAGAATTAGTTTACTCTGTCAATAATTATGATACGAACAAATAATAATTGACTAAACTCAACGAGAATCAACATAGCAGTACGATTCTGTGAACTTCTATCAGATCTTATCATATATGATTAAAATCTTAGAAAATCTATTTGAATCCTCTACGAATATAATCAAGAATTGAATAATAAAATCATATTCAGATATCTAGTATTCAAGATTCGGTTGAATATTACACTAGAATAACATTAGAATATTATACAGATTTTATTAACACGAAATAAATACTATTGATAGAGTTTATTGTATGTATGATAAATCTCGATTATCGATTTCATTATTGATTCCATCAATAACACTTTCATTTGACTCTTACTAATTGTTCGATTTAAATAAAATACGATTGAATAAGTTGAAAAATGTTAATGATTGATTGATTCATTCTTTCCTTATATAAGATATTGCAATGGAATAAATTAACTTAAAAAGTTTGAGATACCAGAAGTTGATTTTGATTTATCGATAATGAAAATCTTTTACTCAAATTTATACGAAATTTTTATTTTCTCGAAATAGATTCTTTTAGAGTAAAAAAAAGTTCAATTCGAACATTACATTTAGGATATTTGACTATTATCTTTTATAATATAATAGACGATTCATTTTTAATAAAGGTATTATACAATCAACAGCTAGTTCATGATTATACTTGTTCATTACATTTGTTCAAGTCAATTGATTTTCTTCTATGGCAACGATATTTGTTAAATAAAATACATCTAATGATTTATCTATTATTGAAATATATATTTATGATAAATTACAAAGAAAATCTTTGCATTTGTTATCATCAGTATTCTAATGCAATCTCTTGATATAAGAGATGAAAAAACAAAGGAAAAAAACTGTTGGCTTTTATCTTATTTTAGCATTATAGAATGAATATTTTATTTAATCATTATTTTCTTCAATTAAATCTTACTAAAGAGAAATATTTGAAGAGACTAATTTAAATACCGAAAATTAAAATGATAGAAATGAAAAATAATATGCAAAATATGAGATTTTTTTAAAAACAATTCATAAATATAAAGGATTTCATATGTTTGTCATTGTTAAAAGAAAATTTTTATTCGAATAATGATGAACTCAACAATATTTAAATACTTATTTCATATAGAAAATGAATTTCAATGATTTATTTTATTCTGATTATGATTAGCATTTACTTTATTTTTCAAAGAAAAAATAAAATATTCAATGTTAGTCAAATAATAGAATATACATATAATTATTGATTATATTCAAATTTGTTAGTTTCAACGTCTCGTAAAGCTTTCTACGAGCTCATTTTTGAAAGACAATCATTTATTTTAATATTCGGATCCAAAATGCATCATTATTTCTACATTAACTCAATCCAAATATTAATTGAGAAAGATTGTTAGCATCTTTTTTTTCGTTATGATTATTTGCTATATGCAGGAGGTCAATTGTACTAGAAGATAAAACAACGAAGAACGTTAAATTATCCATTTTAGAATATCTTGATTTGATAAACTATCAAGTTTTGAAGAAATTGAGAAGAAAACTTGTTTGAGTCATGCATTAATACGATTGTCTTATATGATGTCGTATTGCAAGGTAATGTAGAATTCAGAAAGTCAAGCAGATATATTTGAATTACTTTTAAAGAACTATAAAATAAATCGTTTACTATAAAATGAAGACTTCTCATTTATGTGAAGAAATTGAAAGTTAACATCTAGTCAGTGTAGAGGTCTGCAAGGTACAGACTTTTCACAACCTGCAACCTGACCTGTAAGAATTTTCTTAACCTGATCCTGCCCTGCCCTGTAGAAAATATCTTCTGTATTTTGATGATGAATTCTTTCTCGAAAAAGTTCAGTTGTCCTGTAATCAGTACCAATGAATATTAACTATGTCGAAGAAAATAAAATACTATTAAACTTTTAGATGAAGGTTCTATTTGAAGGAGAATACTGTCTATTCCCAAAAGTTACACATTCCTGCATCGCCTTCTGACCCGGAATCCCTTACCATCAATTCCGGAAAACCTAAAACAACCCTTTCCATCAACTACATGCCACAACCAGGAATTCCTGATTCATAGTTCCTTTCAAATCCAACTCTCAACATCCAATTCCTGGTCATTCCGGGTAATTCCAGAATTCGAAGAATATACTGAATAACGAAATGATCATCTTAAAAGATCTATTCGATATCAAAGAGGAATTCCGGAATTTGTGCATATCCGGAATCACTAGGAAATGCAGGAATTCCTGGTCATTCCTGCCTATTCCGAAATTACAAATATCTCATGAATGGTTAAGTGATCATTTATCGAGCTTGAATAAATGCAAAGCGGAATTCCGGAATTTGTGCACAT